TCACAAAGACGGACGCTCGGGGGTGTTTTACTGTTGCTGTTTTCAGCCAATTGGACTCAGCGCGGAGACAAACAGATCTTTACCTAATGACTCACCTTCAGTCTGAAAATCCAACCCAGACACACACAGCTGCTCGGAGTCTCTCCGGGGATTAGAGGAGCTCCTTCTCCGGGCTCATTTTCCACGTTTTCTCTGTGGAAATGAAGTAATTTGATTGATTAGCAGTGCAATTAAAAGGCTGAGTGTTTTCCCTTTTAGAGGCTTACACAAAAAGTCCAATTAAACTCATTATGGCGACACAGAATATGTATAATTACATCCCTCAGCTCAAAAAAGACATCAGTATTTATTACACATCATAATGTGTTGCAGTTAATGTTTGCTCTGCCATTAATAGTTATTATTTTTTATGTGGACGGCTGGATGAAGATGGTTTCAATTCCCCCCGCAGCTGTAAAACAGGAGTTGGGGCTGCAGAGCCTCATGACTTTGGCTTTGTAGTTTTGGCGTCTTCAGCCATGCAGACAAACTGGTTTGATTAATGCAGCGTAATATGTGATGACGAGAGACGGAGAAAGCATCAGTTTATGTTACAGTGCATTCACATTTCCAACAGCAAAAGAAACAATGTGTTCAAGCTGGTAAAATATTGTTGTGAAAAACACAGAATGAGTTGATGTTGGCGACCTCGTCTCACAGACAAAGACAGACGCAGTGGCCGTGACATCGCTCGCTGGTCACTGATGCCCTGCTGGGAAACCTTGATGTGCAGCTCTGTGATGTGACTCGGAGGAGCGCCTCATTTTCAGGCTCATTGGAGTCACTGGACCTGAGCACGCAGTGTCACATCTCAGGTTTTTGAAACACAGCATGACGGAGCTGAAATAAACTTTAAGTTTTTATTCAGTGTGACCAGAAACAAGGGCAGATAAACCCAGCAGGTATACAGAGGTCAGAGGTTCTATCGGGTAGGAAGTCTTTCATCGCCACCTGGTGGCAAACGTTCCCTCAAGGCAGCAAACAGCAACCTTGAGGGAACGTTCCCTAAAGGCTTCCTAAATGTTGCATTTCCGACTGTTCCCTGAAGGTTGTTTCTGTAGGATCTCTAAGGGAACTCTAAGGAGCCTTCAGGGAACGTTCCCTAAAGCTTTGCAACCAAGCAGCTGCTCTCTTATGGACATTTTAGGCTCTCGTTGCCTAGGTTACACTCTAATGTATTCATGGTAGCTCTTTCACTCGCGCCGCTGAAATCTGAGAAACGTTTATCGGAGTCCCGCCACTTCCTGTCACAAGCGTTTTTTTGCTGATGTCACTGAATGTCGTTTGCTTTCTGCGGTCTCGGGTTATCAGGTCACTCCTGGTGTGTACGCAGCTTCAAGCACCGCACTGACTTCATGTTTCCGAGCCCCGAATCCTCGTCCATGTTTTTTCCGTCTGCATTGCGTGACTGTGAGCTAGCTCTCAGCCGCGTTACCAAAAGACAGCTCAGGGTTGAATCTGAAACCAGACGTTCACTGAATCCTCTGTCAACATCTGTCAACATCAGTCCATAGTTTCCTTCCTGATGTGAACTCCGTGTTGATGCTGGGAGTAGAAGAAAGATGTCAAATCCTTTTTGGACTTAAGTGGAAAATTCACAGAGCCGTTCAGGTGGAGATCAGTCCGCAGGCTGTTTGAGGCAGTCAAAAGCATTTAATACATGAAAAGTTGGGTGAAGCACACTGAAGCAGAGTTTGCAGCGTGATAAACCGTCTCTCAGGTGCTTTTGCTGCTTTTCAGTCTCATGGAAAACATCAAACAACAGATTTTAAATCCTTTCCTGCTGCCGGTTTATCTGGATGACCCGTGCAGCTCAGACCTTTCCCTTTCAAAGTCGAGCGTGGAAGCTTCAGTCTGCACGCCGGCTGTACGTCACCCACTCACCTGGAACGTGAACCTCCGGTGTGATGACATTTCCTGCAGCAGAGGAGTCATTGAAGTGTGGATGGGAGTTTCACTTTGTAGACTCTGATTTCAGCTGGGAGTGTTTACAAAGTGCATCTCCCTCTGTTTGGTGGGCGGGAGAGAAATCCTGCCAGGCCCTGCTGGTTCCCAGTAAAAGCCATCGATCTGCTCATTCCCGACCTGTTTTCCTTTTTTTAGCTGCAGCTCTTCGTGTCAAATGGTGGAAAGTGAGCTCGCTGGAGCTGAATACCAACTCAGACCGTAGGAGGCGGTTAGTACACGGCTTAAATAAAATCTCTGCCCTTTCATTTTCCCTTCACAGAGTTCCAAACTGAAGCTTTTGTCTTTTTAAAGCGCAGTGAAAGGTCGAAGTGTGAATTAGGCCAAGGTCCAGGTGATAAACTGAGCGCGCTCAGTAGGGCTGTAATGAGAACGGGTGATGGAGTGAACCCGTGGCATCTGACGGAGACAGGAAAGCTCCCCCCGGGAGAAGGGCGAGGCAGAGACGGAGGATTAAACTATCGATCTTCGTACCTTCTGCTGTGCCGTGATCAGAGAGATCAAATCGAAGACCTGCTGTGAGACGAGTTTTAACGAACGCCATCGCTGTGGAGACGTGTCTGTTTGATCTCCTCCATCTGTGGGAACATTTTAAAGAAACAAAAATCTATTTGTTTCTTTAATATGAGAATCTTGGACTTACGTTTTAGTAAGGTTTCAGAAATGTGCAGTAATTTCAACCCTTTCAGGATAAAACTGTGGCCTCTGTAGAGGACAGCAGGACTACAGGAGCAGGGATGAGGTGGAGGAGGGTCAGATGTTAGGAGGAGGAAGGTGAAAGTTCAGAGGAGGTGGATCTGTGGCAAAATAATTACACCTGAAGTCCTGCAGAGGGAACCATCTGCACCCTTGTTGCATACATCTTGGCCCACAGTCCAGAGAAGCCAAGGATCAAACCACCAACCTTTAAACCAGGGGCGTCCAACTGCAGGCCTCAAAGGCCGGTGTCCTGCAGGTTTTAGACGTGTCCTTGATCCAACACAGCTGTTTTAAATGTCTTGATGTTCTCCAGAAGCTGGTAATGAACTAATCATTAGATTCAGGTGTGTTGACCCAGGGTGAGATCTAAACCCTGCAGGACCTGCAGTTCCCCACCCCCGCATGGCCTCCTAAGACTCAGCCTTCTTCACCTGCTGGTTCAGGCTGAGAGTAAAACCGGTGCTCCAGGTGAGGCTCGAACTCACAACCTCGGCATCGCTCTGCTGAATACTGTCGTATAAGTACCGCGCGCTGACCGATTGCGCCACTGGAGCATCAGCTGCACTGGGCTGACCTGAAACTGTCTGTCAGGCGATCATCTGATGGCGTTTGAGCCTCTGATGCTGTGGGACTGTGCATAAAAATGTCTGAATAAGTCGAATTTTAATGCCACACTTTGGATAAAGCCCTTGGATTAAAGCTGCGTGTCTGCACTTCGATCACAGCGGATGGTTTAAAAGCTGCTGTGGCGAAGGACAGAGACAAAACTGCAATAACGCGTCAGCATTCAGAGCTCGTGGACCAAAGTGCTTCACAGCAGACAGACCTGACAGCGCTGCCTGTGCCCACTCCCACAGGTCACATGGGTACTGGACTCTGGATCACTGCCACTCTTTGCTTTCATTGACACGCAGGGAACTGTGACAGATGTGAAATCCTCACCTGTCAGGCCAAAAACAGCATTCCTGCCTCACAGCGCGGCCTCTTCTGTGGAAATAATGAACAGAGCTCTTTGTAGACGCGGCCATTATAAATCTGCCAGCCTCACACTCAAAGAGAACACACAGGGCTTCCATGTCACAGCGACTCTCTGGTTCCCGGTTCAAGAGCGTTCTCACCTGTGGGAGCCGGTCTGCAATATGAACTCTGAAACACCTGAAGCGAAACCATCAAAGCAGCTGAAGCAGGAGAAACTGAAGCTCCGAAGGGAAATTAATCCAAAGCGTCTGATGTTAGATTCACATCAGGCAACTTTCCTCAAGTCTTCAACTTCTTTCTGCAGCAAGAGTCCTGACAGGGACTAGAAAGAGAGAGCAGATTTCTCCTGTTTTGGCTTCCTGTTAAATCCAGAATTCAAAATCCTGCTCCTCACATACAAGGTCTTAAATAATCAGGCCCCATCTTATCTTAATGACCTTGTAGGACCATATCACCCTATTAGAGCACTTCGCTCTCGCTCTGCAGGCCTACTTGTTGTTCCTAGAGTATTTAAAAGTAGAATGGGAGGCAGAGCCTTCAGTTTTCAGGCCCCTCTTCTGTGGAACCAGCTTCCAGTTTGGATTCAGGAGACAGACACTATCTCTACTTTCAAGATTAGGCTTAAAACTTTCCTTTTTGCTAAAGCATATAGTTAGGGCTGGACCAGGTGACCCTGAATCCTCCCTTAGTTATGCTTTAATAGACGTAGGCTGCCGGGGATTCCCATGATGCACTGGGTGTTTCTTCTTCACTCACTGTGTGTTAACAGACCTCTCTGCATTGAATCATATCTGTTATTAACCTCTGTCTCTCTTCCACAGCATGTCTTTATCCTGTCTTCCTTCTCTCACCCCAACCAATCACAGCAGATGGCCCCGCCCCTCCCTGAGCCTGGTTCTGCCGGAGGTTTCTTCCTGTTAAAAGGGAGTTTTTCCTTCCCACTGTTGCCAAAGTGCTGCTCATAGGGGGTCATATGATTGTTGGGTTTTTCTGTGTTGTTGTGATTTGGCACAGAATCACAAACATGGTTTCACAGGCTGTTGTAATGTAAGCTGTCAGTTACAGAGCAGCAATGTCCAGCATAAATTGAGACTATAGCTCAGAGAAACCTCTGCTGAAGTTTATTTCATGGTTAAGTTTTACATACAGTACATATGTTTATGAAGGGTCAGTGTTTTTCTCCTCAGGCACGGAGACTGTGCAGGAAAGACCACCAGCTTAATGTGACTCCACACGCTGTAGCTCATATACCTCTGCAATGAGATGATATGCGTCTGTGTGTGTGTGTGTGTGTGTGTGTGTGTGTGTGTGTGTGTGTGTGTCTCTGTCTGCAAAGGCGATAGCTCGAAAACATTTTCATGAATTATGAATTCTGATAAAACTCTGTGGCGTGTTGAGCGAGCTCATGTTAACAATCATTAAAATTCCTTCCATCCACTGAGGTCAACGTCCTGATTTATTGGTGGAAAAATGATAAAAAGGCCTTAAAACGTAGAAACTGTGATTGTTGTGTGCTGTCAGCATGTAGAAAGCATAAAGATTTAAAGCGAGCCCTGATAACAGCTCGCAATTCCATATTTTCCCCACTGACAGGAAAATAAAGGGAAATGTTCCCAGCTGTTCCGACACGGATGATGAAGAGCTTCAGCTCTTTGCTTACAGGTCTGCAGTTAATAACTATAATAATATAATAATTAATATAGGGTCAAGGTCAAGGTCAAATTTATTTATATAGCACATTTCCAACAGTCTATGCTGCACAAAGTGCTTAAAATCGAGGTGTGCCTGCAACTGTAGATAGACCACTTTCTCCAAAACTTTAGATAGAAAAGGGAGCTTTGAGATGGGTATATAAATATAATTTGTTATATTATGAAGACATAACCAGGTCAGAGGGTGACATCATCACAGTGAGAGATCATTATTAAAAAACAGTTTCGCCTGCTGTACGTTTACACTGCAGAATCAGCTCAGTGTGGAAAAACGCCTCCTCCACATAATCCTGGTGAAAACAAGGCTGGGAGACTCTTCTTCTCTGGGGTTTAATGGCAGCTGGCAATGGTGTGATGAACGCCCGGTGCGGAGTTCAAATCTACATGTCCAGTTGCACATTCGTTGCTTTTGTATTTATTACATTTACAACCCTAAAACTTTCATTTGTTTAACCCGATGAAAAAACCCAGAGGATCTTCAGGGAACGTTCCCCAAAGGTTCCCTGAACGTTACTGCTTGCTGGGGTAAAGGATTTAAACCATGGACGTTAAAATGAAGCGTAAATGCCTTAAACCCTGCTTCTACCTGAAGGCCACCAGGTGGCTGTGATTGCAGAAAGACTTCCTGTGCTGTGAGAAAACAGCTTGATGATGAGTTAGTTCCATCTTCATCGTCCTCTGCACACGTGAAAACCATCCCAGGCGAACCTGAGCTGTCACGTGACGCACCTGACACGACTTCCCTGATAACGGTGTAATCTTGTCCGCAGTGGGAGAACGAGCAGCTGCACAGCCTGGAGGAGCGAGGTCGTCTTCTCCTCTCCCTTCAGTTCCTGCCTCCGGTCAGTCTGGAGGATAAAGCCGTAGAAGGTGGAGGTGAAGGCCCTCGCAACGGGGGTCTCTGTGTGGGCGTGAAGCGCTGCGCCCACTTGGCAGCCATGGATGTTAACGGATTCTCCGACCCCTACGTGAAAATGTAAGAGCCCCACGTGTGTGTGTGTGAGTCCAAGACTAAATTCATTTTCCTTTGAAATCATGAACGGCGCTGTTCATTGGCTGTGGATGGGTCTGATTTAGACCAATCAGTTTGCGTATCAGGCTGTTTGTTTCAGCTGTGAATAGGGATGGGTATCGTTTAGGTTTTATCCGATACTGGTACCAAACCGGTACTTTTGAAACGGTGCCGGTGCTTAAAGAATGAAGAACACAAAATTGGTCCAAAAACCTCTCATGTTCAGCTGTTTCTTTGTAAAAAGATAACAATGTTAGCCTTTTCTGCAGCTATGGGGCATATATGGTATCACTCTTGGCTGGAAGCAGTGCTTAAACAATGGAAAAAACAAACTTTGTCCAAAAACCTCTCATGTTCAACTGTTTCCCACTTTTTCTTTGGTCATTTTAGCCTTTTTGGCCAGGGTGAAGGGAGCATCTGCCATCAAACAAGAAGACAGCCGCATGTAGCTATGATGATGTTTGCTAGTTCACCTTACATGCATTAATGTAATAACGTGGTTAGCCTACTCAACGTAAATTACACACGAACAACATGAAGCTCCTCACGCAGAGAAGAACGGCTGCTGCTGCATCATCATCCTCATCATTTCTGCTACACTGGCAGGGCTAGGGGCCAGGACTCTCCTCTTCGGGTTTTTAGGGGATGTTGCTAACTCCGGTCTGATAACAGGCACCACACCCGCAGTAGATGTGCTCGGTGTGAGGACTGACTCACGGCTGCCTCTGCTGGACACTAGGGGGACTGCAGGTTTCATCGTTAGTTTTTATGTCCCAAAGGTGGAAAAAGATCCCAACCATAACCTGCAGGGGGCGCTGCAGTCCTGTGTTCATGCTGTCTTCAGCAGTAAAACTTTTTTGAAGAATTTTACAGATTAAGCGATCGGAGTGAAGACAAAGCTCAGAGTTCTCCAAAGGAATCAGAAAAAGTCTTTTTGGACTGATCTGAACTGCCGCTCATTATAAAAAATTCTTCTGTAAATATATTTTGTATAACGAAACAAAAGGTCATTCAGACACATTAAAAATATTTTTTAGTTCAGTGTGTTTTGCTTTTAGGCACTAAGAGGTTACTTCTAATCAGTGAGAGCTTTTTAATTCCTAATTTGTACCTAAACTTTTGCATTTCCAGCCAGATATATTTATTTAAAGAAGAAAAGTCATATTTTGGAGATATTTTGGCATGTTTGAGCAGTGAAGTGCCTTTTTGTGGAAAAGCTTCTGTTAATGTTTCAGCATTTTGGCCGTTAACCAAAAAGATAATGGTCTCCCCGAGTAACTGTTTAAAAGCAGGGCTGGTGAGGGGTGCTGGTCGGCACGTTGGTCCAGAATGGAAACAAAGATTTCTTTGTTTTTTTCTGCGGTTTCCTCCCTGCAGCCATCACTGAGGACTTAACCCGACACTTCTGCCTGAAAAAGACAATTAAAAGCTGGAGTTTTGCCATCTTATTAACTTTTGCAAATCAAGGAAGCAGGTATTGTTTAAAAGCTGCGTCTGTTTCCTGGCAGGAAGGATAATTAGCGTGAAGGAGAGAGCATTGCGAGTGGCGTCTCGGCTCTGTCACAGGGAAACACCGGGGGCCGGAGCTTAAAGCTTCTCCTCTGCTTTTGTTTCCTCTCGAGGGACGCTTGCTTTGAAGAGGACGACAGTTGTTGTTTTTTTGTTTTTTCCTGTTGCACGCTCGCTGAATACAAACGGAGACGCAGCCAGAACAACCAGTCCTGGTTGGGAGGTTCACATCCCGATAAAGATCGACTTTTGCTTTGCCCGCACTCACAGTTTCTCCTCGCCTTCTTCTGGCTGTTCTCCGTCTGTACAGCCCCTCAGAGCATCCTTTTACCCTCTGCTCTAAGAGTTCGGGGCATGATTAGGTTTGGGTTAATCACTTCGCAGTCAGCACTGTAAAACTGACTCGATTATTTCTGCATTACAGCTTCAATAACGATGACTTCCAGGATTTCATCAGACAGCAGCATGAAATTCATCCTGCGCAGAGCGACTGTCGCCTCGGGCTCCCAAACACTCGTTTAATTAAGCTTCATTTACAGTCTATGACTTCAGATCGCTTTGTTTTCTCTCATTAATGCATTTCTTATTAACAGCAACCACACACAACGGAAACATTCACCTCCTCTCCAAGTCACTGATATGATATGAAACTCCCAAACAGAGTAACTGAACGGATCTGTTTAATTAGCTGAATTCAGTCTTTATTTATTTATTATCCCCTTCCTCAGCATTCACAGGACTTTTCCACTGAAACTCTGCAGATATTTCTGTATATTAATAGTTTCTGCAGACACACATATTGATGTTTCTCCTCCTTTTCTGCTTCTGCTGTCAGATACCTGAAGCCCGACATAGAGAAGAAATCCAAGCACAAAACGGCCGTGATGAAAAGGACCCTGAACCCTGAATTTAACGAGGTAAGATCCCCGCAGCTGCTCCCCTCGGCCGAACGGCAGCTCTGCCCTCACACAGCACTGCTGTTAACAAGCTCGCTCCATTCACCTCAGCGGTTAAAGTTTCATTTATATCTGGTCCGGCTCGCCGACGCCATCGCTGGAGGATGAATCTCCTGCATGTTGTTTTCGTCTCAGAGGAAATAACTCGTGTTTCTCCCACATCGGCGGATGATAGACCGACTGCGCTTCGCTGGCACTGAAATGAGTTTTTCTAGCTGGTGATGGAAAAAATTCAAGTGCAAACACTATTTCCTAATTTTATGGAAGAAACTGTAAAATGTATTGCTTTGAAGTATCAATAGATGTTGCTAGAAACATTTTGTTAAGGAGAAGACTTTGGTGAAGTTAGAATATGTGATTTAGGTGTTAAAAGTCCAGTCATGTGGTGGCGGCCAATTAATCAGGGTTTTAATCAGGGTAAAGACCCTGCAATATTACAGAGAATCAATAACATTAACAATCACACAAAGCCCTGTGAGCAAGTACTTGGTGACAGTGGGAAGGAAAAACTCCCTTTTAACAGGTTTTAACAGGAAGAAACCTTCAGCAGAACCAGGCTCAGGGAGGTCATGGGAGAGATGAATAAGACATCATTTTCCAGCAGCATTGTCTTCCAGTTCCTCCTGAAGCACTTCAAAGCCAAACAAGGTCTCTCTACCAAGTTCCAGATGTACCCCGGGTTCACCTTCTCGACAAAGACAAGGTGGGAGTGACAGACTGGTCTGAACAACGCCACAAAGACGACTTTTCAACACCGAGAGATGAGAACAGGTCAGAAAACTAGTTTGAGGTGTTGACTTGGCCTTGGTCCCAAGATCTCGATCCGACTGAGGAACTGTAGGGTCTGCTGGGAAAATGAGGCCGATCCATGGAGGGCAGAGAACACCTTCAGAAGTCCGCAGAGTTCTCGATGGGTCAAAGCGAGGAGGATCTGTAACATTAGGATCGGTGGATCTGACCAATCAGTGAATTTTAGCTTCCTGATGGGGTTGGAGGGTCTGGTTGCCTCATCTGAGCTGCAGGTCCACCCAGCGTGGAGGACCACCTCTCAGCCCCGTATGCACTCCATCCCTGCATCTCTTCCTCTTGTTTCTGTGTTCACTGCAGGAGTTCTTCTATGAGATCTCCCTGTCAGAGCTGGCCAACAAGACTCTGGAGGTCACAGTGTGGGACTACGACCTGGGCCGCTCCAACGACTTCATAGGTGAGCGAGCGATCAGCCCCATCCACCACTCGCCTGAACCCTGCAGCTTCTTGGGAAGTTGTCAGAAATGTGTTTTGTACTTGCGTGGAGTGTCTCAGTAAGTTTAACATCGTCCTCTGGCTCAGCTGTGAAAAACTGCTGTAAATATTCATTAGTCTAACACATGCTGAGATTAGTGTGTTTAAGCTTATCACTGCATATTTATCACAATTACCATCTGGATTACTGACTTAATTCTTCCGTTTTCATAAACGGTTCCTACTCTGTTAGTATTCTCATGTTTGTCCTCAAACAGCCAGAGAGGACACCTGAGGCGAGGCTGTTACGCTAACTGCAGGAAGTCTTCCTGTGCTTCCTTCCTGTTGTTCAGGTGGTGTCTGTCTGAGCGCCAAGTCCCAGGGCGACGCCCTCCGTCACTGGACCGACTGCCTGAAGAACAAGGGCCAAAGGGTGGAGCGGTGGCACATCCTGACCAACGAGCTGCCGCGAACCCTCAGCCACGACTAACCCCGAGCAGCGGCGTCCACGCATGCAGACAGTCGCTGTCGATGTTCACAGAGATTCTCGGGGTTTTTACAGCACAGACGTGAGCGACTTCAGCACAGGAAACAGCGGTAACTTAATGGACGAGTGTATTATAATATGAGCCACCATGAGAGCAGGGCGAGGCCGGAGCAGCATGGTGGTGTGCCTTCATTATTGATCTGTAAGTCATCTGGAGCAAAAAGGCCGTTGGGTCCATCAGCAGCGTCACATCTGCATTCAGCATCAAAAAACAGGGTCAATCTCCCGACTCATGAAGGGTGGAACTCTCCGGTGACGCGATGTGGCAAACAACATTTACAGAAACTAAGGGGCTGGAAGAGGCATTACAATTCAATTAAAACAAAAACCTCAAACATTTTGAGAAAAGTTATAAATTTGCCACAAAAAATGAACATTTTGTAAACAATAATATTATCTTTGACATGTTTTGGCAGCTTTTCATGAACCTTGTTTTAAATTTTACTTAATTTTTTTGTAAATCTGCCCATTTTTCATAAAATTTGTGTATTTGTTTCTTTTTAGTTTGTTTGGTTTTCTTATATTTTCACATCAAAAGACTTTTGTCTTTGGGTTTTTTTTTCATTCTTATTCATACATTTTCTCTGTTTCCTCTTGAATTTTCCTTTTTTTGGAGAAGTTTAAATTCTAGTAAATATACAATTTTTCTCATATTTTTTTGCTGTTTTTCTTTAGTAATTTTATATTTTCTCTCGTAAATTTGCCATTTTTTCCCTCATAATCTCACTCCTCTGCCGAGCCCCTTAGTTGTGATTTTTGCCCTCTCCTGGCCTAATTCGCCATCATAGGAACTCATCAAAGTTAAGAGAAAATGTGTGGAATTTAAGGCTGAAATGGATTTGCATGTTATTTTCCTGTGCATTACGTGTCTGGTGCTCTTTTAAAAAGTAAAAACGAGAAAGTCAAGCAGTCAGAAAATCTCTGTTCTCTGTTTACACTGAACTGTTGTTCCTTTGCTCGAGCACAGTTCAGTCCTGCAGTACTTACACAGCATGCTGTGCCAGGTTTACATGTACGTATAATCCAGACTGTGAGAAACATGCATGGACGTGTCTTGTGTTGCACTATAGCTAACAGCTAAAAGAGCTTTTGGGAGAAACTGAGCGCTAACGTTAGCTAGCTAAAAAGCTGATGGACTTGTAGCAAAGAACAGCTGAGCTGATCCACTTCCTGTTAATCCCATTTGACACAACATGTCGGCAGTTCAGCAGGAGGCGCTCTGAATGATTTCCCACTGCTCCTGCACAAAACGTCCAAATTTCATTTCAGTTTTAACCGACCTAGCATCCATAACGTGTCTGAACTGAAAGTCTTATGTGACAGTCGGCGCTTTGACAAACGGAATATTTCTGCTCGATGTGCTTCGGCATCGTGGAGTAACGTGTGGAGAGGAAGCTGAACCCATTTAAAGATGAAACATATCAAAATATGGACAACGTGAAGCTTTACGTTTGCTGGTGTAAAGTGGAGTCTTACAGTTGGTGGTGTTTTAACTCATGGGTTCAGGGAGGTCAAAACCTTCCTGCCCTTTGGATGATGCCGTCGTTTTGTTGAGTTTCAGCTGTCACACGGAGGACGTGGGGTTTCTGTTCGCTGTCGTGGATCATTTGGTTTAGTTTTGTTGGTAAAAACTGGTTGAAAATGATGACGAATGTAACTTCAGTTCAGTTACGCCTCCAGTGTAACATTACGTCTGTGGTAATGAGACCTGTTTAAATCAGTGGGTAGCTTTTTCAAGTGTGTTGTTGGGGAAAAAGACTTGACGGGGCGCTTTTCCTTACTGTAGCTGTGGTTTGGGGCCAGAAACACTTTTGATGGAGTTTGGATGCAAAGCTTTATTTTGCGGAGCACCGTGCAAATATCATCCTAACTGCATTTTAAAATAATCTCTGGTAAAAGTTTTTGTTCATATGTATTACTCTGTGGTGACTCAAGCATGTGCGTCAGCGAGGACTCCATCCACAGCAGTGACCACCAGTCTTAAAGGGGATCTATTGCAGTTTTATTCTCTCACATATATACAGATACGTTAAAAATAAGTTTATGGTTTTATTTAACTTTACCTGAAACTAATGACTGACACATAAACTCAGCAGGAAGGGAGGCGAGGGTCCTTTTCTGTGGCCATGACAAAGAATGCAAGTTCCCCTCCCTGTGCAGACATGGAGGTAACGCCCTCGATTACTCTGTCTGCACTCACGAGTGATTAATCACGTGGACGCTTACATGTCACTGGGACTGCTGGATAGTTGGTCGTTTATTCAGCTGTGTGAAAATCCCGGAGGAACCCACCTGGGGGATTAATAAAGTTTTATTTTATCTAATCTAATAACTTTGATCTCAGCCAAACCGATTTACTCAGGAACAAATAAAACACTGAAAAAAGCCAAACAATTACATTTTTAGGTTATCCGAGTGACGTATATATCATGTTTAACCCGAGTAACGAAAGATCACAGGGGGTCTGAAAACGATGAAGCTGGGAGTTCGCTGCTCTTGTCGGCTCCAGTGACCCTCGAGCTCCCGGTCAGCGATCGAGCTGGTGGGTAACAGACGTCTCTGAAAACGTGAGAGCACTTTTGCAAATATGCGATGTCTTGATGAAACGAACAGATATTTGAGGTTTACACAGCTACATTCTCACCTGAAAATATGTTAAAGCTTTAATTTGTGACCCAGAAAGAGAAATAAGAGAAATATTAAAACTTAGTAGCTGCCACCATTGTTGGAAACTGGAATTGACTGGGCTGCGCAATGAATTCTGGGATAAGGTGGACCATGAAGGACACACACGACCCATCCTTCAAATCTGGAGAAAAGGAGGACGCATTTGTCGGCCGCATTCGGAGGAGTCTACGAATTTGGACAGCCTTCATTGCGTTGCTGTGACGTAATCGGTCTACAAATGCGGCCTCAGGAGATTGCAGCCGACGTTTTGGGACACAGCTCTTGACTTGAAGCTGATGAGTTAGCTAGCTGGGATCAGAAATAGACTTTAGAGCATGAGGTTCAGGCCTATGACAGTGAATTATCGCCTCAAAGTTCAAGAAGCGAGTGAAGCAGACGTTGATGTCTCCAATATTAACACAACTTTTATTTTTTGGAACAACTTTCCAACCAAGACGACAGATACAGCAAATAAAGTTATTGAATGAGTGAAACGAGTTGGAATAGACGGGCCCGCGTCCAGC